TCTTTCTTATCTGTGCCTGTGATAGCCAGCTAAGTCCTGGTCCTAGCAACTGAGGTAGGCTGCAGGCTTATATGGCGCCTAAGCCTACCAAGGCTTAGGCGCCATAGGCGCCAACTCTTTAGGCTTAGGCGCCAACTCACGATACGATATTTTCAGCTTTTGTATGATATTCCTCTCATGAATTAAATTTAGGCTTTTTGAGATTCGCGAAAGTTTAATGTCGCGAAAACGGCCGAAATTATCAATTCTCGAAAGTTTCTGGTTTACAGTATCTATTTAGGCTAGGCCTATGTATGAAGATACAGTATGTAAAAATATCAACTTTTTTTACAGCTCATAGTTGATTCTGAAAACTGTTTTAAAAAAATGATGTAGAGAAATGCCATCAAATGGGCTTAAAAAACTCTAATACCCTGGAGCGCAATAGCGCTTCGCCCCCTTGACCCCCGACCAGGGCTTTGCCCCTGGACCCCGATGGGGGCCTAGGCGCCCCCCTATAAACCGGCCTATTTCAATTTACTCTCCTGTTACTTTCAAATTTCTCCTGCTACTCAAATTCATAAATAAACCCCTGTTGATTGATCATTTTGTTGATTGACTGACTTATAAATCAAAATATTATAATAATGATTCAACACTACTGTAACTCAAACCCAGACTGCAATGGTACTGGGAAGCAGTATGGGGGCTATAGAACCCGACCATGTGAATAGAATGTCAGTAGATTTTCGTCTACCTTGCATAAATTGTATAGGTTGGTGGTGAAGACTGGCCCTAAATGATACGGTCCTAATTTTAATTACTTTTAGCTCTAAATGTAATAAAAGTCCTAAGTGTAAATGGTAATAAGGCTCCAAATATAATAGTTTCTAAGTGTATTATAATTATTTGCCCTAAATATACTGAACTGAGCCCACCCCTAATGTAATAAATGTCAATATTCTAGAATTTTTAATCACAACGATAACAAATGAAAGGTAAAGGTCCTTAAAATTGGATAAGAACCTCATGAATCGTTGGGAGAGAATGTGGTTTTTTTGTAATAAAATGTTAAAAGCTAGCGTTATTTAGTGCTAGCAGAATCTGGATGGCTGTAAGATTAAGAAGTTGATAATGTTTTAGCACACAGACAGTAGCTAAAAATAAGATTTTTGAAGATACAAGAGTTACAGTACTAAAAGTCCATTAGCGCCGATTGGCCTCTCTAAAATATAAAAAGATAGACTAGGTCTAGGTCTAGTACTTGAACGACCTCTACCTAGGCCTAGCCTAGACCTAGCCAGCCTACCGATCGTATCGTAGGTTTCCTATGGAAACTTCGAGAACAATAATGCAGTTCAAGCTGCATACAAACTAATAATAGGCCAGGGCCTATACGCACCTTCGCCGCACCGACATTTCCGAGCTGAACCTTACGACCACTTTCACGCTTCGTGTTTTGGTCTGAAATAGAAAATTAAAGGTAAAAGTAATTTTTATCATTAACTTTAAGGCTTTTCCTACAAAATAAGAAAAATACATACTTAGTACAACAATTGGAGCACCTCCTCGCATCATTTTGTCAGTTTTCTGCCTTGTGGAAGCACCAAAGTCTCAATTTTTCTCACGTTGTGTTGCCGATATCATCCAGACGTTTAATTCCAGATAATCCATGCAGTCAAGGCTGAATAAGTGAATAAAGCGGCTGTACTTACGACTAGGAATTATCTCCGGTCGCTTGAGGGGGCTATCATAATATTTTTTAATTTAATTGTCACAATAATACTTTCCCTAATAAATTAGGTATTCAGTCAATACCATGAAATACAAATGAACTAATGACAGTACCACCATCTTTAGACTCAAGAAGCTTCAGCTAGCTTCATCAGGTATGCCAAAATTAATTGTGTGTTCAATTCAAGTTCAAGTGTTTTGCTCAATCAAGGACGAAATATGCTACGGGACAGGGACGTATCCGGGGGGGGGGAGCCGCGGCTCCCCCCCCCCCCCC